TGCTGCATTGTAAATTTTGGTCAATGACATGAGACAAAGTATATGTGAACTGCTGTATGAAAAGTGAATTTACTCTGTAAATCTTCACCCAAATCTTAATTAAAAAAAAAAAAAAGAATCAACTTGATGGCACACAACAACAAATGAGTAGAAACATACCCAATGTTCATGGATTGGAAGATTGATAGTGTTAAGATGGCAATACTTCCAAATTACCTATAGATTCCACAACACAATTCCTATAAAAACTCCAATTGAATTTTTGTAAAAATTAACAACCTAATTCTAAAATTCACAGGAAAACCAAGGGACCCAGAACAGCAAAACAATCTTGAAAAAAGAACAAAGTTGGAGAACTCACTCTTCCCAACTTCAAAACTCACAATACATTCTAACGATCAAGACAGGGTGGCACTGGCATAGGAACAAAGATACAGATCAATGGAATAGATAGGAAATTTCAAAAATATCATTATATTTATAATCAATTGATTTTTGACAAAGAAAAACAAAATAATTCAATGGGGAAAGAATAGTATTTTCAACCAATAGTGCTGCTGTTGTTGTAAGGTGCCGTCTAGTCAGCTCCAACTCATAGCAACCCTATGCATGACAGAACGAAACAGTGCCTAGTACTGCGCCAGCCTCACAATCCTTGCTACACTTGAGCCCATTGTTGCAGCCACTGTGTCAATCCATCTTGTTGAGGATCTTCCCCTTTTTCACTGACACTCCACTTCACCAAGCATGATATCCTTTCTCCAGGGAATGGTACCTTCTGCCAACATGACCAAAGTAGGTGAGATAAAGTCTGGCCATTCTGGCTTCTGAGGAACATTCTGACTATACTTCTTCCAGGACAGATTTGTTTGTTTGTTGGGGAACAAGAAAAAGACCCCCAAAAGAACACGATTGCAAGGCACATGTTCTAATTACAGTGAAGAAATGACAAGGCCTCTCGGGATTGAGTGTTTGCTTTTAGAGATGGCAAGGCCTCTCTGTGGTTGAATGTTGCTTTAAGAGATGACAAGGTCTCTCTCACTGTTAAATACTTAATTGGCAAAAATCAAAGTATTAAGAGTAAATGTTATTCTCCACGGTTTTTTTTTTTTTATCTTATTGAGATGCTTCATACTCTGCATCACTGTATCCTAGTAAACTTTTATCGTTTTTCACTCCTTATTCCTCAGATTTCTGTGATTGTTTTAATGACCACCACCTGTTGTCCTTGAGCATGTAGAGTAAAACTTTAGCTCAGTAGAGAATAAGCTGATTGCATGACTTCCAAAACTAATGATGTAATCATGTACAAACATATAAATAAATTAGAACAAAGGCATCAGGGGTTGCTCTTGCAGAACATGCAGGGCATCTGCCTGGCCCCCATTCCTTATAAATAATAAAAATGAAAACTATTAATCCTTTTGTGTCGTTTCATTTCATGACCTGTGCGGTTTTGCCAGATGCTGCATTTGTTCTTCTGGCAGTTCATGGTACTTTCAGTATTCTTTGCCAACACCACAACTCAAAAGCATCAACTCTTCTTCAGTCTTCCGTATTCATTGTCCACAGTGCTGAGACTTCTGTATATCCAGAGGCAAACGAATGAAGTTGGGCCCCTAACACTATATATGAAAATTAACTGAAAATGGATCATATACCTAAATTTAACAGCTAAAACTATAAAACTCTGAAAGGAAAACACAGAGTAAATTTTCACTTTGGTTAAGTAATAGGTTATAAACTATAGCATCAGGAGCACAAATAACAAAAGAAAAAACAGATAAATTGAAAGTCATCAAAATTAAAAACCTGTATTATAAATGATACCATCAAGAAACGGAAAAGACAACTAACAGAATGGGAGAAAATATTTGCAAGTTGTATGTCTGGTAACAGACTTGTATTCAGAATATATAATGAACACTTACAATTCAATAATAAAAAAATAAAAAATCCAATTAAAAAAATGGATAAAATATTTGAATAGAGATTTCTCCACAGAAGATTTACAAATAGCCAATAATAGCACATGAAAAGATACTCAGTATTATTAGTCATTAGGAAAATGCAACTCAAAAGTAAATGAGGGGGGTTCCGGCAAGATGGCGGACTAGGCAGAAGGATTGCACAGACCCTCTTCAAC